AACTCTGTTATTACTAATGATAGGATGAAATCAGTCCAAACTGAGACATAATACCAAGTGAATGCCGACTGTGTAGACCGACCTTGCACGCATCAGCAGATATCCCTAAAGTTCAAACTCATTTTGTTTTTATCTCAGCAGCCCCTCATATCGTCTCCCTCCCCAATGTGCACCGGTCACTTCCAAGCATTTCACGCCCACAAATCCTGGCTCTCCCATATAAGCTGGCTTAGCATCCTCTCTCAATACATTCACAGAAGCCTCTTCAGCATTCGATTCCCATCACACTGCCATCCAGCCATGACTTCACCTGGGCGCTTTGCAGGACTTTGCATAATTGCTCTGGTGCTGTTTTATGGTGCACATCTGGGAGGTAAATAGATTTATAGATTATATTTTTTTATTATTATTATTATTTTTTAGAATATATACATTATGCATTCTTCAAACTGTAGTGCTTTGAACCTTTCCATTTCTTCTTGTTGGATTTCCACAGAGACCAAGAACTCTCGCAAAGAGCACAAAGAGCCCAACGTCCCGTTCCCCCCTGCCCGTCCCACCACTCACAATCTGGCTGCCATTTGTCATCAGGGTAGAGGTCGCCCCAGGTACCCTCCCAGTTTCTTCCCCAAATCCGGGTCCAGCCACTTCCGACGCCGTGGACATGCCATGAACCGCCTAGAGTCGTGGTTCAGAGTGTGCTGCAGTGGACACCTAGACGAGCAGAGCAGCCAGATCCTCTGCTGCGCTCAACAAGCGGTGAGTCTCTGAGTGTGTGGGACCGAAGTAAACCTGAAAACACTTAGCATATCATCAGGAAGAGTTCTGCTATTATTTACTATTTATACAGTTAGTAGGGAATTAATAATACTCATTTTTTAGCTTCATTGTCTTAAAATTTATGGACTGTCCAAGAGGCTTTGGTTTTCAAAACTATAAATTCATACAAATCAGTATAATTTTAAAGAATACGACACAGTAAAGCATTTTATACCTGTATTTTTGTCCCCTTCACTGCTGAAGCCAGCAGTTTCCAATCACTTTTATGTAAATTGGTGAGTGACAGTTGGTTGTGCTAACAACATGAGGATGAAAATACTTAATCTAACTTCAAAACTGTTGAAGAAATACTTGCAAGCTAATCTGGAAGCTGCAGTGGGTTTACACCCCTGAAAAGACTTTGGCTGCTTCAGGTACTTCAGCAATGTGTTCAGCGATCTGTACTTCCAGTTTAATTCTCAGTTACTCCTCTGATGTAAACAAGCAGGGACTGTTGTGTGGGGCCAGGCTAATAAAGCATAAAATTATTTTTAACAGAACTGAATTCAGCTTATTGATGGTAAATGGCCTGTATTTGTACAGCGCTTTTACTAGTCCCGCCTAGGGACCCCAAAGCGCTTTACACACCCAGTCATCCACCCATTCACTCTCACATTCACACACTGGTGGAGGCAAGCTACAGTTGTAGCCACAGCTGCCCTGGGGCAGACTGACAGAAGCGAGGCTGCCATATTGCGCCATCGGCCCTTCTGGCCAACACCAGTAGGCGAAGTGTCTTGCCCAAGGACACAACGACCGAGACTGTCCGAGCCGGGGCTCGAACTGGCAACCTTCCGATTACAAGGCGAACTCCCAACTCTTGAGCCACGATCGCCCCACCCAGATGTGGGCATCCTCAAGAGAGCGAGTTTCTAATCTTGCCCCTTGGAAAAATGAATTGCCCACCTGTGTTTTAGATCAGCCTTCTTCTAAGCTGGCAGCTCATCACAAATGGATGTCTTCAGTAGTGGGTGTGTGAAGCTGCTGACAGGAGTAGAAACATACAACAACCTCCCTCGCCAACTTCTTTTAAACTTTGGCCGTAATTGTTAGAAGCATCCAGCTTGGACAGCTACGACAGAAAATAAAGACAAACCTTTTTTTTATTTATCAACGTAAACACAATAATGTAAATGAAGCTTTAAAACTTTATGTTCAAGCACCTTATTTTTATCTTGAAATGTGCTATACAAATAAAATCTTACTTGACTTTTATTTTTAAAGTTTTCTAAAATACTTATGCAGATGGAAGATAAAAAGAAAATATTGACCGATGCTGAGTGAATCGCCGTGAGCTGCACCTGCTTACAAATCTGATTCCTCTAGCATAAATTTGTGGTTCTAAATACTTTTTTCCCCCCCTCTGGCTAATGTAACGATACTGTGTGACATGACTCTTCTTTCTTACAGTGGAAAAACGCCCTGTCTCTGTTCTGTGTGGAAGAGTACTCCACCATGACCCTCCCGTACGAGTGCTGTGAGAACACTGGAGAAGCCCGCTGGTCATGCTTCGACAGCGAGCTGCCAAACCCAAACTACACCTCAAACCCAGGCTACAATGCCCCTGAAATCCCCGAGGAGCCTGGATTCACGTTTGACCCAAATGCCTGCTAGAGGTCGAAAATAATAACTTTCCACTCTTTCACATTCCTATAGGGAGATAATATTGAAGAAACTCCTGCAAACCTCTCAGACAATCCTATCTAAATCTTGTCTTTGTCACGTACAGCTGCTCCCTGATGTGGACAGGACATACTGGTTTGGATTACACTATCTAAGGACAATTAGAGTCCCATCTAGCCTTGTTATCAGCTCAGCATTTTAACCAAGCTTTGCCATATTAATAGGAAACACATTTTAAAAATGCAACTCAGTGCTTAATTTTATAAGGCTCACAGAATGTGTCTGGCTTAAATGTTGTAATTTCTGACATGTAGTGTTTTTAGAGAGAAAAATAAACACACTCCGCAAAGAGACTGATGTGGTTTTTGTTACATCAATGTTTGTTATAGGGTTGATCTGGATCGCCTTCAAAAATCAATCTTTTTAACATCCAGTCACAAATCTGTAGAATTATTTTTGAAAAAATACATATGACGTAAAGGTCTCCACCAGGGGTCACAGTTGGCTGGATTATCAGCACGTGTGGCTGATAATTGTTGATGGGTAATAAAGGTTTCAGTGTGGTGTAGCATCTTTGTGCAGTAAAAAAAAAATCTCAAATCGAAACTTTACAACCATCATTGAGTTATCTTCACTAATATAATCCAGACCACAATCACTGGAATGGTCATCTGTGTGACTCCTTCAAAGTAAAAGGTGAAAGCGTTACAGGAGTTAAAATCTGGTGACTCCAGCTCCCATATGATTTGACTGACATTTTGAGATTTGGCAAACCATTCAGTGACCCCCGTTTCATATGGATGGGGGTGTTGTCATCCTTGAAAAGACACAGATCAAGGTGATCACTCGGAACCGTTTTTTTTTTTTTTTTTTTCTAATTTGCAAGATCAAAACAATCAGAAATCTGTTTTTCATATGTTATTAACTTTTAAAAAGGAGCCAAACTGATTTTACTTAAAGAAATCCCAAAGAATGGAAGACCACAGGGACAGTTTTAATTAAGGCCGAAAGTGACAGGTCAAGGAAAATCTTAGATAAGCAGAGGCAAATGATGGTGAGAACAGTCATAGTCAACCCATACACCAGCTCCAAAGACCTGCAACATCTTGCTGCAGATGGTGTCACTGTGCATCATTCAACTATTCAGCGCACTTTGCACAAGGAGATGCTGTATGGGAGAGTAATGCAGAAGAAGCCTTTTCTGCGCACATGCCACAAACGGAGTCACCTGAGGTATTCTAAAGCACATTTGGACAAGCCAGCTTCATTTTGGAATAAGGTGCTGTGGACTGATGAAACTAAAATTGAGTTATGTGGGAATAACAAGAGGAGGTATGCATGGTGGAAACAGAACACAGTATTCCAAGAGAAACGCTTGCTAGCCACAGTAAAATGTAGTAGCGGTTCCATCATGCTGTGGGGCTGTGGCCAGTGCACGTACTGAGAATCTTGTTAATGTTGAGGGTCACATGGATTCCAGTCAATATCAGCAGATTCTTGAGAACAATGTTCAAGAATCAGTGACAAAGTTGAAGTTGCACCAGGGCTGGATATTTCAACAAGACAATGACCCTAAACTCTGCTCAAAATCTACTAAGGCATTCATGCAGAGGAACAAGTACAATGTTCTGGAACGGCCATCTCAGTCCCCAGACCTGAATATTATTGAAAATCTATGGTGTGACTTAAAGCGGGCTGTCCATGCTGGGAAACCATTAAACCTGACTGAACTGGTTTTGTAAAGACAAAAGGTCCAAAATGTCTTCAACCAGAATCCAGACTCTCATTGGTAGCTATAAGGAGTGTTTGGAGATGTTATTTCTGCAAAAGGAGGATCTACTAAATATTGATGTAATTTTTCTGTTGGGCTGCCCACATTTATGCACCTGCCTAATTTAGTTTAAGTCACTATTGCACACTTTCTGTAAATCCTATAAACTTCATTTCACTTCTCAAATATCATTGTGTTTGTCTGCTATATGATATACTTAAATGAAATTGCTGATCCAAACAACCAATGATTTATGAAGGAAAAAGATGAAAATTATCAGGGGTGCCCAAACTTGAGGTGCATACCACTGTACTTGGAGTAATTTTGATGGGACGGCCACTCCTGGAACAGTTCCCTGCTTTTCTAAGTTTTCCTGATTTGTGGATAATGGCTCTCACTGCATTTTGCTGGAGTCCCAAGAAATTAGAAATTGCTTTGTAACCTTTTCCAGACTCATAGACGTCAATGACTTTGTTTCATAGCTGTTTCTATAGATTGTGACATGCTGTGTTCCTTTTTAAGATCTTAATTCAACTACCAATGAAATTGAACTTTTTCACAACAAAAGAACAGAGACAAAGGTTTCTGCATGACTAACCACAAAAAGTAAATGTCACTGTATGTGTGATCATGAAACACTAAATCAAGTCATTAGCCTTCATTAATACTTCATTCAACTTAAATTTTGATACTTCAACTACATTTTATTCCTAATGTATAACATTTTGAACAAAACAATTTTACTACATGATAATATTGCTACTTCTACCTTTTTAAATGTTGTTTAGGAGTACAAATAAGTTATTTCTCTCTTCTACGTTTTTAAAAATAGCTACTTTTACATTTCTTATTATTCCCACTACAAAGTTTCTTAAAAACGAACTCTTTAGATGAAGTTATTTTTCTTGTTTTCCCCACCTTTTTACATTAATTTTAAGAGGTTCCTAAATCATGGGGTGGTGTTATTTTATTTTGAAAGTGCTTATGTTATTCTGAAATATTCCCCCACCGGAAATGCTGTTCTTGCCCAGACTAGCAGCCCAAACAAAACTGCCGCTTCCGCACTGCTTCCTTGTTTATTTGTTTTGAGGAAAACACCGCCTTTATAAAAGAATAAAAAGTATTTTTTAAATTTAATTAGAAGCTATAAGAACGTCTAAACACGATTTTCCGGTAAGTTTAATGTTTTGTGTGTATTTTCGAGACTTATCTGTGTGGTTAAAGTTAGAAAAGTTAAAGCAGCGGCAGCTAGCGTTGTCGCCTATGTTCAGTTGAATAGCGCTGCTCAGACGCTTCGGTATCTCCCACATTAACATGTCACAACACGCATTAGCCTCTCTGTGTTGTTGTGTGTGTGTGTTTTTTTAAAAGTTACTTTACTTAATAGCCTACCCGGTGCTTAGTCGCTTTTGGTAGGAAGCTGCCGCCTGTTTATGTGCCCTTTGTCTCCATCAGCAGAGCTGTTCAACGTGGCTGTTGTTGGTATTTCTAGCATGAAATCATGTAGAGTGTATACTGTTCTTGAGCTGGGCATTTTTTCCACACAGGTCCACGCCTTGCTGAACTGACGACACCGATACATTTGAAGCTAAGGGGTGAATAAAGACCCCCAGTTTCCTCCAAAGCAAGTCCAGAGTGTAGTTTCTTGTCTGAATGGCCACAGCTGCAGAAGAGCCTCCAGGGCTACAGGGCCAGACTGGCAGTAAGTACTGTGTTGTAATACACCACCTTTCGTGCCAGTGCATACAACATATAGCCTGAAATAACTTTAATTGCTTCATACAGATTCACTTCTCAAGGCATGTCTCAGAAAGGTCTCACATGGTAGTGTACTCAAGATAAAGAGGTGGGGGTCCATTCATATGGGACCACCTGGGGATAATACAGGAGTAGCCAAAAATGCTTACCTGACATCACGCATGTAAACTATGCTTAATTATGTTGACTTATGCATGTTGTACACAGGCATATTTTAAATACTTCAATCATTACAATCAATATAGATGTGTAATTGAAGCCATTTAACAGAGTCCTTAATAGGTTAAAAGACAACCTTTGTCTTCAGTAAATTTGGGGCATCTCAAATAAAAGAAGAAGAAAGCAAATAAAAGTACTTCCCAGAATGTCTTAACTATTCCTTTAATGTGTACTAAAAAGGAAAGAAAATGGAAAAAATATGTTTATTTACCTCACATCACAGTAGATTTATGACACAAAGTTTTCATCAGAGCATCTGAGGAAAAAAACAAAACAAAAACCAGAACTTTAATTGAGTACAAAGGCCACTTTTCTTGGCCTGAGTACATAATTACATCTTAAATCAGATGTTTCTGGCTGTTCTTGATTTGATCTTTAAAAAAAAAGTGGTTTGCAGGACAAAGTAGATGGATCTCATGGTTCACAGAAAGTTTACGTACTTACCTCACTTTATTAAAAATTAAAATGAGCGCTTTTCCAGAAGTTTTGTGCCATTGTGTAAAATGTAAACGTAGAAATATATAATTATTTTGAATTTGATGCCATCAACTCATTTGGGACAGGAGGGTGTTTAACACTGACTGCTCTAGTTATGAAAACACACTGTTTTCTCCTTATTGCTTAACACAGGAATTCAGCTGCACAACAGTTTCACACTATTTCTATCCCTCTGAACACTTTTATATTCACCCTGTCACTGCTGTCACTACTCCAGAAAAATGTTGTTACTCAGCATCCGTTTTATGGAAATGTACAAGAACAGCATAGACTCTGAAGAAAGGAAATCAGTTGTTGACTGTAAGAAGAAAGGAGCGATGAGTAACCGGAACTGAAATTAGGGAAGTGTGAATAATAAAGTGTTGAAACAAGAGATTTTGGCCTCCTTTGACTAGTTTTACATTTTCTAATGCCACATTTTTGTTAGTGGGTGTTGGAACTGCAGTAATAATAATAATAAGTCCTTACTGGATTAAACAAGGACCTCTTTCAAAACATGCTGTCTTTCTAGCTGCGTAAGTAGCTCCAAAAATTGGTATATTACTGATGTTTTCACACATGTGTGAGTTAACCCTGCCTTGTGAGCTAATGCCCTCCCGTACCAGTACAGATTTTGGCTTTTTGAACTAATAGCAGTCTGAATGGTCTTTCCCTCCCTGAACTCAGAGGATGAGGCATTCATGCTATCCAAAAAGGATTTCACATTTTGATTTGCCAGACCACAGGCAGCAGGAGGCTTACAATGGGCTTTGGGGATGGGGCTATGAACCTAAACATAACCGGTCCATATATAGTAAAGGCAAAAAGTCTTTGTTATTGTTGTCAACAGAGGTCTGAGTATTTTCCTGTTGGTTTTGGCCATTTCACAAACAAAGTTAGAGTAAATGAAATCTCATAAAAAGTACCCACAAACTTTGCCATTCTTACAAATTGTTTAACTGAAATCAAAAATAGATGTGTGCTTTTAAAAAAAATGAAGCTGAGATTAAACAAAATAGAAGTTGTTTGTTATTGGTCAAATAAGGTGGATCCAAGCATCAGCTCTTTTCTTAGTTGATTCTAACCTCAGTTTTGAGAAGCGTCTCCCAGTGCTTCTACCA